GGGACCACAGGCACCCGCCACAACACCCAGCTATTTTTTTGGTTTGCAGCCATTATTGTTGTTTGGTGGGCCCGGGCTGGATTCAAACCCGCCAACTTAGGTGTATGTGGCTGGCGCCTTAGCCACTTGAGCCACAGGAGCCGAGCCTAAGTTAGCACTTTCGAGAGTGTCTTGTGTAGAGTCCTGCTTCACTGTTCACCATCTCTGTGCCCAGCTGAGGCTGTGATGTGTGTTTCTGTGTCCCTGTGAAATGTGCATGTCACTTTCTGACTGTGCTGACAGCTTGGGTAGTGATGAATTGGGCTCTTCCTGGTTGTAGGAATCAGAGATGAGGCAGAGGTCAAGCCTGTGACACTGAATCTGTGGGCAGCTATGCTCATCCACATTTTTCCTGGGGCCTGTGGCTCTGCCAACTCCTAGGGCAAGGGAGATCTTCAGGGGGCCTGGCTACCCTGCTGTGGCCGCACTGTATTTGCTCTATACTTCCTCTCACATTTCAGGGCCAAGTGGGCAGAATGAGACTTTTTTTTTTTTTTGAGACAGCCTCAAGCTATCACCCTGGGTAGAGTACTTTGGCATCACAACTCACAGCAACCTTCAACTCCTGGGCTCAAGCGATTCTCCTGCCTCCACCTCCCAAGTAGCTGGGACAACAGGTGCCTGCCACAATGCCGGGCTATTTTTTGGTTGCAGCTGTCGTTGTTTGGTGGGCCCTGGGCTGGATTCGAACCCACCAGCTTAGGTGTATGTCACTTGAGCCATAGGCGCTGAGCCAGAATGAGACTTTTCTAACTACTATTCTGTGTCTCAGTTCTGTTTGCCTTTTCCTAAGCTTAGCAGATTTTCAACAGCCAGTGAGATCCAACACTTAAGTGGGCAGAGAGCAGAGGCCCTGGGCAGTGTTGAATAGTGCTATTTAGGGGCCATGTCCACCTGCTGTGCTCCTTAACCCTGGACCTCCTTAACCACTTGAGTGTAGTTTTGGGGCTTCTAGGGCGTTTTCTAATAAGTTGTCCAGTGGGGGTTTGGAACAGAATCTGAGAGCCTGTGATTTCTCATTTCACTTTGGTTGAGACTCACATGTGCAGCAGTATGTTTTTATGTTTGTGTGTCCAGCAGCCCCAGAACTTTAACTTGTTTTGCTTTGTCCTTTTTATATTAAAAACTGTTGGAAGCTTAAACAAATATCATTTGCAAATATGTGATCAGGCCTAGTGTCTGTGGTGAATCAATTAAATGTGTATGTGCTGATCTCTGTCCTCTCTTACGTCCTGTTGTACAGGAACAGTGTAACCTATTGCTTGTGGTTTCAGGGACAGGGAAGGAATCTGTGTGACTGCCCTGGCCTCTCCTGACCCCAGCTGTGCCACTATTGGTCTTTTCCTTGTGTGGACGTGCCCTTCATGGCATAGTGGTGATGTTCAAAGAGCCACTTTTCTTTTGAGGTGTTATAAATGTCTTAATTTTTTTTTTT